CGCTTTCAATTATCTTATAAATATGAAAATACCCAAAAATAAAAACGATGGAAAACGCTGCGAGGTGGGTGCGCACACGCTCACCGGCATGGAAGAAATTTATACATTTTTTTCCTACTTCCTTGCGATACTATTTACTTGTTTTTTGCTTCCTACTTTTAATATAATATAGCGAAGAATTCATCGGAGGAAGGATATGGCAACTGCGTTGTGTACACTTCAGATCAATCAAATTTTTCACCCGAAGCCATTTTAATAATAATTTTTATTCGCATTTCGTAGGTTTTTGTGTTTCATTGTTTCATTATTTTTCATTTAATATGTTTATATTTTCATTGTGTCCTTGCCGTCATTTTAGGGATTTACGTGATGTTTTTCATTTTCATCAATTTCATTCAGTTGAATTTATTTTGTTTCATTTAAAATCTTTTGCAATATGTATGTAGCATTATCTTTTTTTTTTTGTACTGTACATGTGCAAAAATTGTTAAAAATATTTCTTAAGGTATCTTGAAGATCTTTCCGACTTCATTTTCTTCTTTTTTTTGAGTTTTTTGAAAGACTTGTGAAATGTTTAAAATGTGAAATTTGCATTTGCATTGCGTCTCTGATAATTCAGTCATCGCTTGAGTAAACACTAGCATTTGCAATCGCTCATGATCATCGCTGCCGCTGCCGTTACCTCTACCACCACTTCTCTTACCGCTTTTATGGTTGTTTTTGTTGTTTTCTTTAAAAATGAGGTTTCAAGTGAAACTCAAAGTATTTTTGCAATGCTAAGATACTTGACATTTGGCTTAAACAGCCGTTGACATTCCTTTAACTAAGTACTCATGTGCTAACAGAGGTCCACAACGAGAATCGAGTGAAAAAAAAATTTTAATATTATTGGTATGTATTATATTTTTCATTAAACATATATAAATAATTTATAGAATATGTTTAAAAAATCCAGATCATAAGAGGCAGAGATGCCTGATAAAGTAAAGTAATGGAAAATTTTATATGAGATTAAAAACTTTGAAATTATTTCAAACGTTTTATGTTTGACCAAGTCATTCAAACTTCATTTAGAAATTAATTTTATATAAAATAAAATATATTTTTTTTTAATACATTATTTATAGCATAAAATATTTAACAAGAGTATAGTTAAATAAACAACATACATATAAAATAACTTTTTATATAATTTTGAGTTTTAAAGTCAGATTAGGTCATTCACGAACCAGTTTCTACGATAGTTTGTTTTATGACTTTGGAATATATATACTCTCTACATATAAAATATAGTACTTTCAAATGAAATCATATGAAATTAATAAACAGCTATGGTTCACTTTTGTGAAATATCTATCCATATCCTGATGTATTTTATCAGTATTAAGAAGTATAAATAAGTATAAATGTCAAGCAAATACAATATCTGTTTCGGAATACTTAATTTATTAAAGTTTGACATATCCTCTATATGGGAAAGTTTATGAAACCTAAGTTATCATAAGTACCTGTTCTTTCAAGCTTTCCTACTTAATTTTAAAAATTCCCATACCTACATTAACATATTTAACAGAGTTATAGACATAATATAATTTCTGTAACTTAATTATTGAAGAATTTACATTCAATTTCAATTTACAGTATATGGGGTTAAATTAATTACTAACTAATTACATTCAATTTTAATTATTATATTAAATTTGATCCGTAAAGTCAATTATGACGAATTAAATCACGTTTTTAGTAGATACTATTGTTTTAATGGAGAGAGAGAGAGAGAGGTAAATCACAATAACAAAATTTTTGTTAATTCATTAATTAAGTTTTTGTCGGACCGTACAACTGTTTCACGTATTACTAATTATTAAAACATGAGCTGAGATATTAAGTACGATTGACTTCTATAACATAAAGGCAGTACTAAAAGCGATCAATTTTATATTTTTTTTTGTTTTTTAATGTTACGTCGAGCAGTCAAGAAATGCGTATCCACACCGATATCCCGGAAAGTAAGTGTTCAATTCGCAAGATTAAATTGTTTCCACTCATTTCTAGAGACCTTATCTAACCCTAGGACTATGTTAGAACTTCTTCGGATTAGGGCTTCTTTTAATCATTTAGAACTTTCGTCGTTGTAAACAGACATCAAATAAGCTATATTACAGTTGATAAATTTTTATGCTGTTGTGCCAAAATACTCCTTCGATAGATAGTATCATTACTAGTTTATTCAATAACTTCTCACAGAACACGTAATCAAAATTTGATAAAAATAAAAATGAGATAAAAGTATTTACCGAAAACATGAAAGCAACTCTTTTATCAGACATCAGTTCCATAAATTAATCGATTTAATTAGCTACCTACACATTCCTTCTGAAAACCTTGTGTTAAGAGTTTTTGAAATCTCTTTACACAGAATATATAGGATACGACATAATTAATATTGTATTATATTATTTTCATGCTTTCAAGTTAAGAAACGTAGGATACTATGAGAAATATATAACGCAAATCCACACTCTCAAATTTCGGATTAGCTAACATTTTTTCGAAGTCACTATGTACTTAAGTAAATTGTCGCTAATTTATGAAAGAAAAAAATGATTCATAATTTTTTTAACTACTCAATAAAAAATGTAAACTTTTGTATTCGTTTTTGATACATTTTTTCGGTACCGCTCATCAACTACGACTTAGATGACATTGATTGACGGCAAAGATTATTCATATCCAAAAGAGTTAATTGGTTAATGATAACACTGAGATTTCTGACATTCAAGACACGTGTTTAGTGAACAGCAAAGGTTCAGAATTTATTTATATTTAAACACGAGTAAGAAAATAAATAAAAATAATAAAAATATTTTACATGTCATACACAAATAAATTTGTTTTATTAAATATTAACAATATAAATATTAACTCATAGAATGAATATAAGTAAAGACAACAA